CATGTGGATGAACAAAGCCAAGCTAGTTTTCACCCTAACAGCTCTTTGTGGTGAAACAACCCAAGCAACACGAGCAGTGATGGCCAAGCACTCTGCCAGGCATCGTATTCCAACCAAAGACAACCTAAGACATTCATTCACAGATTCTTGTACGTCTGATTTTAAGGCACCTAAGGATTTTTCCCACCATGCCTTGTTGCCAAACTAAACCCCTCCTTAGATCATGGAACAGCAGCATGGGACAAACGTGCTAATAGAGAATGTTTGAGATTGAGAAAGGGAAATTAATTTGCTATGAAAACAAACAATTGCTGTCAAAACCTATATATACACACAGTACAGTACTACAATGTATGATTAACTAAAGACTAGGAAATGATAAAGTGAAAGAAAACTTGAGAAAAGGCATGAAGCTCCATGAACAATTTGCCTTGGTCTAATATCTATCACGTTTAATATAATCTGTATCTGTTGACATACAGTATCAGTGTGCAAACTTGATAACTGTAGTGAATAGTTACTAGTACGTCACCATAGCAGCAGTTGGTGACCCTGTGATTTTGAATCTTTCAGATGAGACCATGACAACAGGTGTGAAGGAGCTGAAGTGACATAATTTCTACTGCCCAATCAGCACACTCTAATGGGAACCAACTTTTATTTTTCTTATTATTTTCAAATCTCTTCATCAAGCTATCAATGTCTCTCACTTTGTTCTGTGTACCTCACGAAGACCAGACATGCAATCACCAGGGAAGATTTAACTGTACTGCACCTACACAGGTCCTATTACCTTTTTTGCATTGTTAGGGGCTCTACATTCATGAATGTTTTTGCTTTCCATGTGTTTAAGGCCGTCTGGTAAGTAAGGGTTTAATCGAGTTTCACAGCAGAGAGATGAAATGGGAGACGTTGAGTGGATTACTAGAAACTATATAGGAATGAGGAAAGTTCCAGTTTATTAAACTACTTTCCACCCTTTTGAGCAACATATCTGGCAACATATCTGACCAATTGAACTGTGGCTTACTATGTGCTGTCCTTCCAAAGCCCTCAATTAAATGTTTTTCTTCATCTATACAATGTGGACATATAACAGATAACAGCTCATCCTTCACCACCAAGTACACCGCACTAACTAACCCGAAACAAGCAAACAATCGCATCACATTCTATTGAATGTTCCTAGTCAACTACTGGTGCTAGAAGTTTACAACCCTAACGTCACAATTATATGGGATTAAATGTATTATAGTTAAAATACAAATGTGCTGTTCATGTGGGTAAATTGATATGCTATGCCAATGACATACAGTGCAACACAAATGCCAGTATATCATGTAATCTAGTAAAAGGACAGGTTCTATGTTTTTGAAGGAGTAGATTGAACTAATAAGTTCATTGGCTGGGTGAGGGGCAGATTCTGCACTGTTCAGTGGAGCAACGTCCAAGCAATGTTAAAGCCATGTCAATAGTCTCTCTCTCTCTCGCTCTCTCTCTACAGAAACCATATTTTCTGCTGTCCAGAGAGGGACTAGAAATTCCTCATCAACACGTATTTTCTCTGCCTCTTCAATAAACAACTTTTAAGCAGAAATTAACACTGCAAATTGACTCTTTGCAAAGATGGTCTTTCGCAGGTCAATAGCAACCATCTTTAATTACAGATGCTATGGGCACCATTTAGTAAATCTGTTATTAAAAAGTCATTGAGTGTGTAGGACTGGGTTAATGACAACCGTTTCAGAGTAAAAAGCAGCACCATTTACTAGTAACTAGATAGTGTTAAAGTGTAATTTGCAACTGTCTGTCCTACACTACATCTGTAGTGTGGAGGAAAATACTTGATTGTTGTGTGCCAGATGGGATTATATGGGTGTGATGTGGTCCCTAATAGGTGGGACATAACTGTTCTGCCTGTTAGGCCACTGCTCTTTACACCCCATAGACACTCACTCTTTCACACCATCCACAATGAGAAAATCTAGTTCAATGTAGTATATACAGTTGAAGTCGGAAGTTTACATACGCTTAGGTTGGAGTCATTAAAACTCGTTTTTCAACCACTCCACAAATGTCTTGTTAACAAACTAATGATGTCATGGCTTTAGAAGCTTCTGATAGGCTAATTGACATCATTTGACTCAATAGGAGGTGTACCTGTGGATGTATTTCAAGGCCTACCTTCAAAATCAGTGCCTCTTTGCTTGACATCATGTGAAAATCAAAAGAAATCAGCCAAGACCTCAGAAAAAATATTGTAGACCTCCACAAGTCTGGTTCATCCTTGGGAGCAATTTCCAAACGCCTGAAGCTACCACGTTCATCTGTACAAACAATAGTACGCAAGTATAAACACCATGGGACAATGCAGCCGTCATACCGCTCAGGAAGGAGACGCGTTCTGTCTCCTAGAGATGAACGTACTTTGGTGCGAAAAGTGCAAATCAATCCCAGAACAACAGCAAAGGACCTTGTGAAGATGCTGGAGGAAACAGATACAAAAGTATCTATATCCACAGTAAAACGAGTCCAATATCGACATACCCTGAAAGGCCGCTCAGCAAGGAAGAATCCACTGCTCCAAAACCGCCATAAAAAAGCCAGACTACGGTTTGCAACTGCACATGGGGACAAAGATCGTACTTTTTGGAGAAATGTCCTCTGGTCTGATGAAACAAAAATAGAACTGTTTGGCCATAATGACCATTGTTATGTTTGGAGGAAAAAGGGGGTAGCTTGCAAGACGAAGAACACCATCCCAACCGTGATGAAGCACGTGGGTGGCAGCATCATGCTGTGGGCGTGCTTTGCTGCAGGAGGGACTGGTGCACTTCACAAAATAGATGGCATCATGAGGAAGGAAAATTAGGTGGATATATTGAAGCAACATCTCAAGACATCAGTCAGGAAGTTAAAGCTTGGTCGCAAATGGGTCTTCCAAATGGACAATGACCCCAAGCATACTTCCAAAGTTGTGGCAAAATGGCTTAAGGACAACAAAGTCAAGGTATTGGAGTGGCCATCACAAAGCCCTGACCTCAAACCTATAGAAAATGTGTCGGCCGAACTGAAAAAGCGTTTGCGAGCAAGGAGGCCTACCAACCTGACTCAGTTACACCAGCTCTGTCAGGAGGAATGGGCCAAAATTCCCCCAACTTATTGTGGGAAGCTTGTGGAAGGCTACCTGAAACGTTTGACCCAAGTTAAACAATTTAAAGGCAATGCTACCAATTACTAATTGAGTGTATGTAAACTTCTGACCCACTGGGAATGTGATGAAATAAATAAATGCTTAAATAAATAATTCTCTCTACTATTATTATGACATTTCACATTCTTAAAATAAAGGTGTAATCCTAACTGACCTAAGACAGGGCATTTTTACTAGAATTAAATGTCAGGAATTGTGAAAAACTGAGTTTAAATGTATTTGGCTAAGGTGTATGTAAACTTCCGACTTCAACTGTATATATGTGATAGATTACATGATTTATCATTACAATCAATCGTACTTTACACCAGAGGCTTGAATACCAGAATGTCATTATGGGGCTAAACACACAACTCAATGTGGACTATAGAATAACGTCATAGTCAGTAGAAAATATTCCACAACTGTCCTTGCAAATAAACTGCAACAATAGCAAGTGAGCATCATTAACTACATTTCCCTTGGAAATACAAACATGAATAGTATATATAAGGTGCAAAAATGCATTGTATCATATAGTCAACTTTTTCTTCCAGAAATTAGAAACATTTGTTTCCTTTAAATGATGTACGATAGTGTTGCAATGGAAACATGTATCAGATCAATAAATGTACTGTACCATCCATATCATAAGCATATTTCAACCTTACATCAATGCCATTATCATAAGTGAAAATGCATCAATGCAGCCCTAATGTACGTACTGCATGGCTTTTTCACATCCCATGTCTCAGCAACCTTAGTCAGTGGCTGAGGCAGCTAGCCTGGTAAAAAGTGGTGTGACGTTAGTCAGTGGCTGCAGTAGCTAGCCTGGTAAAAAGTGGTGTGACGTTAGTCAGTGGCTGCAGTAGCTAGCCTGGTAAAAAGTGGTGTGACGTTAGTCAGTGGCTGCAGTAGCTAGCCTGGTAAAAAGTGGTGTGACGTTAGTCAGTGGCTGCAGTAGCTAGCCTGGTAAAAAGTGGTGTGAGTACGTCCCTAGAATAACAAAATAATTACCCAGCATTCTGTACGAGTGCAACCATTTCAGATATGATGACTTCTCTGTCTTTACCATAGAAATAGAATAGACTTAGATTATAATTCTATGTCTATGGTGTTTACCTGCAAGACTGAGGTATTTCAATAGCAGGTATTGATCAATCACATTATATATCCCCCCCCCCCCCCCCCCCCCCACTTATACTGTCAACCCACCAACATGGGGAGAGATTTTCAGACTTCTGTCTTGACAGTGAGTCATCACCACCTCTGTGCTACTACTGGGATGCAGTAGTCTCCACACAGGGTGTTTTAGCCCAAGACCACTGTTGCTGGTGAGATTCTCCATAGAAAAGTTGCACTTTGTGATTCCCTTTGAACACGGTGGAAAAATACTGACATTCCCCTTTACTTTACCCAGAGGCTTAAAATACATGATGGCAATGCAAAAGCTCTTAGGGGGGAAATACATTTCCAACAACAACATTTGTTACAGTATAGAAAATAATAAATTTGCTTGTATTTACCCAAATATAATTGTGATGGTGGATCAGTTCGGTTAAAGGGGAGGGTGTACCAGCAGCTCATTGTAGTGGAGTGGGGAATATTCCCTCCGTCTTAAAGGAGAGAGGACATCAGAAGAATGGCAACAGGTGGAGAAAAACAGTGAGGAGTGAGAGACGTTTGCACAGATGAGAAGGAGAGAGGAAGGGGTCTGGGTTACACCCACTGGCTGGGGCTGGGGTATGGGGGCCGGTTAGGGGCAGAACTGGGGTAGGGTGGGGTAGGGGGGGTAAATCCTCAAACCTCAAAGGCGGGTCTGGGCCTCGGGGATGTAGATCTCGATGCTGTCCGCTCGCTCCGTGGCTGAGTTCTGTCTGAAGGAAGCCGCCCGCTTCGCAGCCAGAAGACGACGCCTGGCCTCCTGACGCTGGCGGTCCTGCAGGTCCAGAGAGCGCTCCCGCATCACGCTGCCACGCCCCTTCGGAGGCCTCTTTGGCAGCGGGGGAGGCCACTTCCTCTCCTTCACATTATAGAGAGAGAGAGAAGAAAGAGAGAGAGAGAGAGAGAGAAGAGAGAGAGAGAGAGAGCGAGAGAGCAGAGAGAGCAGGAGCATAAATCGAAAGAGCATTAGCTCGCTAATGAGTATAGAGAGGGCATCGAGAGAGCTAGATAGAGATAGAGTAGAGAGAGACGAGAGAGAAAGAGAGAGCGAGAGAGAGAGAGAGAGAGAAAGAGAGACAAAGAGAGATTTGAGCCATGTGACTTTCTTAGAATAGGGGCGGGATAAAACAAAAAAACAATGTATGCGTTGGCCAATACCATTAGACAATACACCCACACAGTCTAGTTTGCTAGCTGTGAAAAGCTGTAAAGCTAAGAAAGGGTAACAACCCTGCTGATTTACCTGTAATGGCGTCTTCTTCTCTGGGCTCTCCACGAGCCTCCACTCATTGCTCTTGATCTGCTGCAGCTCGTCAAACTTGGCAGTGACGTCGTCGATGGAGAGCTGCAGCAGGTCCCAGAATCCGGCCAGGTCCTGAGAAGTGGGGCGGGGCATGGCGCTGGGGTCCTGGGGGGTGGAGGGTGGCGAGGAGGAGGTGACCAGGAGGGAACACATTAGATATCGTTATCAACACCTCAGTGACCATGAGAATGTGTTTCTGTCTGATTTCATGAATCGTATACACAATATAGTTGTTATCTGGTACAGTCATAACTGTTACAGACTATAGTGGCGATTTTTTTAATGCTTGCCTTACATCAACAGCTATTGTATCATCCAACACCTGCTGTACACGGTCCAACCACTAGGTGTCCTGCAAACCTTACTGTAAACGGTCCAACCACTAGGTGTCCTGCAAACCTTACTGTACACGGTCCAACCACTAGGTGTCCTGCAAACCTTACTGTACACGGTCCAACCACTAGGTGTCCTGGAAACCTTACTGTACACGGTCCAACCACTAGGTGTCCTCTTTAACTCTTTAAATGTATTTCATGCCCTTTGCAAGACCTGAGCTTCATTTCATGGAGCAAAATCAAGGCTGCACACACACAACAATGTCATTAGAGTTGTGATATGGACTCATACTAGGGGTAGTGCTCTCTCTCTCTCTGGTAGGGGTACGAAGGCTGCTCCCTACTCAGTCAGTGGGACACGTTTGTGAGTCTCAGAGCAATCTAAGTCCTGTCACAGTGAATGTGGGCCTTCATCCATCATCCCCTTATCTCAGAGGGAACGCAGAGAGAGAGCAAAACACCGGCTTTAAGTCATCAGACACAAAACAGACTCACACTACGGCAAGCGAGAAGGGTCTTAAAGCCCCATCTCTCACTAATTATTTGCCTTTTTCATTGAATACGTTTCTGCACCGTGTGAATGAATGGCAAGTGAAGCATCATTTGAGCAAAGCCTCTCTCATTATGGAACTTACCAAAGAGTATGACTGTAATCTGTATTTGTTTGTCCTGAGACTACCCCTACAGTAGCTAATGCGGGTTGACATTTGGTGGTTAATTAAAATGAGGTCTTATAAAAATGTAAAAACTTATTGACTAAGTTCGAGGTGAGTAATGAAAGATGGTAAAAGGTTGAAATGCCTGTCTGTCTCTGTGTGTTAGTGAACGGTGTGAAAACAGACAGCTTACTGTGGGGGTCAATAGAAACATAGATTGGATGGCTATTTCTGGAACAGCCAGTTAGTGCAGCTTCAGGTACAGCACTTTTCAAGCCCTGTGCTGTTGGTAAGTCATCACTTCTCAAGCCCTGTGCTGTTGGTAAGTCATCACTTCTCAAGCCCTGTGCTGTTGGTAAGTCATCACTTCTCAAGCCCTGTGCTGTTGGTAAGTCATCACTTCTCAAGCCCTGTGCTGTTGGTAAGTCATCACTTCTCAAGCCCTGTGCTGTTTGTAAGTCATCACTTCTCAAGCCCTGCGCTGTTGGTAAGTCATCACTTCTCAAGCCCTGCGCTGTTGGTAAGTCATCACTTCTCAAGCCCTGTGCTGTTGGTAAGTCATCACTTCTCAAGCCCTGTGCTGTTGGTAAGTCATCACTTCTCAAGCCCTGTGCTGTTGGTAAGTCATCACTTCTCAAGCCCTGCGCTGTTGGTAAGTCATCACTTCTCAAGCCCTGTGCTGTTGGTAAGTCATCAACAGTGAGAATGTGAGACATAAGGTGTCTTTTGAAGAAAAACAGACACATACAAACTTGTCATGTTCTATTATGGTATTATAGGTACTCACAAGGTTCTGCTGGCACAGCCAGTACAACTGCTGGAATTTTTGAGACATGAGGAGTTGTGCACTGCCCACTGCACTCCGGATTTTCCCTAGGACTGGAAGAGACACACACACAGAGAGAGAGAGAGAGAGAGAGAGAGAGAGAGAGAGAGAGAGAGAGAGAGAGAGAGAGAGATAGAGAGAGAGAGAGAGAGAGAGAGAGAGAGAGAGAGAGAGAGAGAGAGAGAGAGAGAGAGAGAGCGATAGATCACACACAGCGTTATCCTCATTGACAGCTCACAGAGTGTAATCTCACTCAAATATGTCCACTGCCTCAACCATCAAAAGATAGACCGGTATTCATTTGCTATGGTAATAACAATGCTTGACTTTACCCATTCCATTCTAAAATGGTTATCAGTGATTGCATTTATAATCTAATGCATTAGAATGTGAACAGCCCCTGCCTTAGGGACCATAGAGGCAGTATACGTCAGACACTCACTCTCCTCCGACAGGTCATGCTCCTCCGCCTCCCTCTCCATGTCTTTACACCATCCCTCCATCCTCTTAGTTTCATTATGGAGGAGCTGCATGAACCAGCTGCCATCCCTGCGGAGGGGGGACACCCGAACCATCTCAGCCCCCTCGAGAGAGGGCTCTGTCAGCCACGACTCGGGCTGCGGACTGGGAGGACCGCTGGAGGAGCGCTGGTAGTCCTCCCGGTAGCTGAAGAGGCCCTGGGTGCGGACGGTGCGGACGGCCCCGTACTGGGTGGGCGTGCTGGGCTCCGAGTGGCCCCCTCGGAAACCCAAGCCCCCTCCAAACTGCAGGCCCTTGTCCTCCATGGTGGGGAAGCCCTCTAGTTCCATGTCAGCTTGTACGGCTGTCGTCACGCTGTTGGAGCGCTTGAACCTGCCATGCCTGAGGGAGTACAGAAACGCATACACGTATATGTATACAGACAAACATAAATACATTAGATGAACAATATATGGATCCAAAGAGAGAGAAAACATCAATATAACCCATTCACAGATACAGTATGTACAGAAAAGAAATCATTCACAAGTACATGTGCAATATATCTTTCACAACATCAATAAATATTTAGTTAGCGCAATCAGGATCCAGAGGGAAATGATTGGCTGCTGCTGTAAAGGGTCAGAGGACAAACTATGCAACGGTTGTATTTCCAGTTTCCACTTCCTGTGTGCCACATACCGTTTGTCATCCTCCACCTGGGTGCCCACAGAATGGTACTGAGGAAGACCTTTACCCTCCGAATCTGAGTCCGTCGCTGTCTCCACCTGGTAAACAACAATGTGAACATAAACAATAACACTGGTCACATGTCATATGAATCTCTTTAGAACAGTATCATGGGTGAACTACTTTACAAAACTTTTTTAAAAAATGACTTTAGGAAAAAAAAAAAGAGGGTGAAGTAGGTAAAAAATCAAGGAAAAGGGGGGAAAAAGGGAAAAGGGGGGGAGAAGGGAAAAAAAAAAAGAGAAAGGGGGAGGAGGGAGAGGGAAAAAAGAAAGGGGGAAAAGTCAGAAAAAGGGAGAAAGAGAAAAGGGGGGAAAAAATAGGAGGGGGAAGGGAAAAGGGGGGGGGCGAGGGGAAAAGAGGGGGGGAAGGGGAAAAAGGGGGGAAAAAAAAAGAGAAAAAATTTGGGGGGAAAAAAGGGGGTAAGAAAAGGAGAAGGAAAAGGGGTGGGGGGGGGGAGGGGGGAAGGGAGAAAGAAAAGAGGGGGGGAAGGGGGGTAAAAGGGGGGGGAAAGGGGGAGAAAGGGGGGGAAGAAGAAGGAAAAAGATGAAGGGGGGAAAAAGGGGGGAAAAGAAGGGGGAAAAGGGGGGGTGGGGGGAAGGGGGGGAAAAAGGGGAAAAGGGAATTTTAAAAAAGGGAAAGAAAAAAGGGGGAAAAAAAAAAGGGGTTGAGGGGAAAAAAAAAAAGGGTCCAAAAATTTTTGGGGGGTTTTTTTTTAAAATTTTGGGGGCCCCCTTTTTTTTCCCCCCAATTTTTCCCCTTTTTTTTCCTGCCCCGGGGCTGTCTCCCTGTCCCTCTATTTCTATGGCTCAGTTTACGAGCTCACACACACACACACACACACACACACACACACACACACACACAGACACAGACACACAGATCTATTGTCATGTCAACAGCACAGTCCCAGTACTTCAAAACAATGACATCGAAAAAAGGAGTGTGGAATAAAATGTCAACGAGTCCTTTAGAGTAAATAACTCATCATACCAGATATGGTGACAGATATGATGAATTAGGTGCTGGCACTGAAGGTTATGATGGGGACGTTGATGATATTGATGATGATGATGAAGATGATGGCGATGATGCATTGGCTTTTATTTATCCCTTGAGAAACTGCATTGCAAAAGAGACAGAATGTTGGCTTGAGTGCAATTAATGGTCTAAACGGTTACATTAATGCTATATGATGTGCTTCATGTAATTTAAGAGGACATGAAAATGTGTAAAACATGTTCACAAGTCACAGCAGCAGGCATCCAGAAAATAATCATTAGTAAATGTAATGATATTTCTTTAATTAGTTTGATTTGTTGCCAGTGTAAAATAGATTACGTGATCAATTTGAATTACATTGATAAATAGTCTTCTTCAACAGTTTCCTCTAATGTTATTCTACTCTATTTGTCATCATAGGTGGTTTGTGTTTGTGTGTATTTGTGTGTGTGTGTGTGTGTGTGGTTGTGTGTGTGTGTGTGTGTGTGCACGTGTACATCTCTGTGTGTGTGTACATCTGTGTAAGTGTGTGTGTGTGTGTGCATGTGTACATCTGTGTGTGTGTGTGTGTACATCTGTGTAAGTGTGTGTTATATTGTGCTGTGAGCTGCCTGTGGTCTCTAGGCTGGCCAGTGGCTGTAGAGCTATGTGGTCAGGTCATTCATCCTGATTGGTCAGGCTCACATTGGGTCAGTGTGAGATGGTTTTAGTCATTTTAATGTATATAGGGTTTGTTCCCCTCCCCCCCCAAAAAACTAAACATGTTTTATTTTTTATTTTATTTTTGTCAAACCACCCGCAGACCAGATTGGACCTCCTCGCGGGCCATATGTTTGACACCCCTGGACTAGACCATCACGTGTGTGTGTGTGTGTGTGTGTGTGTGTGTGTTTTGTGTATGTGTGAGCTGGTTTTACCTGTATCCCGATGGAGGAGCGTGGCGTTTTGAGGTATTCCTCAGCCTTGGACACCAACACTGCCTTGTCACACGTCTGCACTGAGCTGTGGCTGCCCGAGGAGGCGTGCCACTTGCCCCCTGCCATCTCCATGGCCAGCGTCACCACCTTGGCATTGTCCAGGCTGTCGGTGGAGTTGTAGAGGGTTCGACTCGAGCCGCCCAGACCGTCTGGCGCCCACAGGATGCTCCCCCGCTGGTGCCTCCCCTCGTGGTAGGCGTCCTGAGTGGACTCTGTGCTGCTCTGGGCCGTCACAGAGATGAGGGGCTTGGAGGTGGCGCGAGGTGGCGCCGGCGGGGGCGTCTTCGACTTATAGCTAGGCATGTGCGTCACCACTGGAGAGCAAGCAGGGAGATGAGAGAGAGGACAATGAGTTACTTTAAAGCAGAGGTTCTGAAGGGGAGAGAATGGAGGATGATAATGTAATAATGAAAGATGGGGCGAGAGTGAGTGATGAAAGATGGGGCGAGAGTGAGTGATGAAAGATGGGGCGAGAGTGAGTGATGAAAGATGGGGCGAGAATGAGTGATGAAAGATGGGGCGAGAGTGAGTGATGAAAGCGAAGGGCGGAGTGATGAGGGGATTATGTCAAATGCATCATAAGGAGACTTGAGGACACAGGATGGAAGAAAGGGGGAAACCACAGAGATGAACACTCAACACTGACACTTCTTCCTGATTAATTAACCCAGTGTTAACAGACTATAGCTAATTCTGGGCAGTGGATGATTATGGGAAGGAACACTTCTTTCAAGTGCAAATGCAATCTTAAAATGGACCTAAATTCCCAATCTGGCCCTCATACCATCATGGCCACCTCATTCATCCCTCCTCCTCTCCCGTGTAACTATTTCCCAGGTCATTGCTGTAAATGAGAATGTGTTCTCAGTCAACTTACCTGACAAAATAAGGGTAAAATAAAAAAATAAGCAGTAGAACAGACCTAGTAGCAAGGAGGTACAGTATGCCTACTTCACAGGCTGGGCTCAGACAGGCTGGGCTCAGACAGGCTGGGCTCAGACAGGCTGGGCTCAGACAGGCTGGGATCAGACAGGCTGGGATCAGACAGGCTGGGATCAGACAGGCTGGGCTCAGACAGGCTGGGATCAGACAGGCTGGGATCAGACAGGCTGGGATCAGACAGGCTGGGATCAGACAGGCTGGGATCCGACAGGCTGGGCTCAGACAGGCTGGGATCAGACAGGCTGGGCTCAGACAGGCTGGGCTCAGACAGGCTGGGATAAGACAGGCTGGGATCGGACAGGCTGGGATCGGACAGGCTCGGCTCGGACAGGCTCGGCTCGGACAGGCTGGGATCGGACAGGCTGGGATCGGACAGGCTGGGCTCAGACAGGCTGGGCTCAGACAGGCTGGGCTCAGACAGGCTGGGCTCAGACAGGCTGGGTTCAGACAGGCTGGGATCAGACAGGCTGGGATCAGACAGGCTGGGATCAGACAGGCTGGGATCAGACGGGCTGGGATCAGACGGGCTGGGCTCAGACGGGCTGAGAATGGCTGGGCTCAGAATGGCTGGGCTCAGACGGGCTGGGATCAGACAAGCTGGGATCAGACAAGCTGGGATCAGACAGGCTGGGATCAGACAGGCTGGGCTCAGAATGGCTGGGCTCAGACAGGCTGGGCTCAGACAGGCTGGGATCAGACAGGCTGGGATCAGACAGGCTGGGCTCAGACAGGCTGGGATCAGACAGGCTGGGATCAGACAGGCTGGGCTCAGACAGGCTGGGCTCAGACAGGCTGGGATCAGACAGGCTGGGCTCAGACAAGCTGGGCTCAGACAAGCTGGGATCAGACTGGTACCATTGCTTCAATTATATTAAATGCAGTTGCTTGATATTAACTTTTAATTCTGATAGCCTCATGTTATTGATTTAAAAATATAGCTATATCAAACAGGCCATGTGAGACAGATGTTACTACCAGATTCCAGGTCAGTGTAGTCCTGCAGGCAGTGAGGATATACATTAATGATCTTACTTTGTTGACACCTTGTCACACACTACAAGTAGAAGTGATTCATCATACTTTTACTGATACTGATTATCTAGCATCAAAGACACCAAACACTAGTTGCTTGTTTTTGTGGAATTATGCCATCCAGAATACAGTACAATGAATTATGACAGTTAACAATCCTTTATATGATGAAAGGAACAGCTCATGGGAGTCCAAGATACGGTGTTAATTATTGAACACAGCGGATGCAGAGAGACTGCAGCATGCTGATGGCCCTGTGGATGGTGACATTGTCATACAGAATTTCTAAACCGCTATTTTACGAAACTGTTGGATGAGTCACTGAGGGGGAAAAAGGCTGTGATTCATTGCAGTGATAAAAATTGACTTCATCACAAATACTGTATGTTGTGTAACTGGGGAACTCAATAGTCATGCACATTTATTCAGGCATTCATTTGTTAATGTGTTCATGCAACAACTAAACCATTAATTAATTAATTAATTAATATTAAATTTTTCTTACTGTTGAATAATCTCCCTAATCCTTTCAAGGTCACGCACGCGTGCACATATTGCCGGCGACTGGTTGACACATCTTTGACATAATTATGCTACTTGTAAAAAATCAGGGACAACTTGAACTAAATCCATTCACAATTTTAACGAGCAGATTGTGTGATAGATCTAATTAGTCATTAGATGTGATAAGACTCCACATGAAACTAATAGAACTCTGCATATACTCTCACTTTAGACTGATTAATTCTCACTTGAAAGGGTTGTAGTTTTTCCGCAAGACTTTGTGGGTGGATACCAAATTGAGTAGGACGGGTGACGCAGTCGTAGACAGCATTCATCTTTACATTTCTATTCCTGAGCTTTAATGGTGTGCTGCTTCAAAGCCAGACAGGAAGTGTGAAACTCTGACATCTTAAACAGCCTCCCATTCAAACAGAGTTGATTTGAATACTCTGTAGACAACGACCTCTTTGAAAAAGAACAACACCTTTACCCAGCAAGAGACGCACTATTGCCTCCTTGCCTCCCTACAGAAAGCAGACATTTAGACAGACACAAACCCTGTGTGCCTGGTGACGTTGCACTGCAACTTGACAAGCAGGAGCCATGTGAGTCTCTCTGTATTCAGGAGGTGTGTTGTAGCCAACAGCCGGTGGGAAAGGCAGGAGAGGCTGGGCTGCAGAGCTCCCTGAAAGGAGATGATGTGTCTGTCTGTCTTTGGCCTCTCCTCACACTGGGTATTTCCCATGATTAACTCCTACCCTCAGTCACCAGAGAACCATGCTTAACTCCTACCTTCCAAGTCACCAGAGAACCATGTTTAACTCCTACCCTCCAAGTCACCAGACAACCATGTTTAACTCCTACCCTAAAAGACACCAGAGAACCATGTTTAACTCCTACCCTTCGTGGCTATCTAGCTAGATAACAGTAGTTTCTAGCCAGTTTTCCCCATTGACTTACTATGCGCTTGCAATCTACGCACACTACAGTGGGTTTTGTAGGCTGTTAAACATGCCAGAATTAACACAGAATGTATTTAATATGAGGAAATCAGTCAATTGAAATAAATTCATTAGGCCCTAATCTATGGATTTCACATGACTGGGCAGGGGCGTAGCCATGGCTGGGCCTGGGAGGGCATAGGCCCACCCACTTGGGAGCCAGGCCTACCCACTGGGGAGCCAGGCCCAGCCAATCAGATTGAGTTTCTCCCCACAAAAGGGCTTTATTACAGACAGAAATACTCTTCAGTTTCATCAGCTGTCCGGGTGGCTGGTCTCAGACGATCCCGCAGGTGAAGAAGCTGGATGTGGAGGTCCTGGGCTGGCCTGGTTACATGTGGTCTGCGGTTGTGAGGCCGGTTGGACGTACTGCCAAATTCTCTAAAACAACGTTGGAGGCGGCTTATGGTAGAAATATTAACATTCAATTCTCTGGCAACAGCTCTGGTGGACATTCCTGCAGTCAGCATGCCAAATGGACATTCCCTCAAAACTTGAGACATCTGTGGCATTGTGTTGTGTGACAAAACTGCACATTTTAGAGTGTTCTTTTATTGTCCCCAGCACAAGGTGCAACTGTGTAATGATCATGATGTTTAATCAGCTTCTTGATATGCCACACCTGTCATGTGGATGGATTATCTTGGCAAAGGAGAAATGCTCACGAACAAGGATGTAAAGAAATGTGTGAACAAAATTGGAGATAAATACACTTTTTGTGCGTAAGGAACATTTCTGGGATCTTTTATTTCAGCTCATGAAACATGGGACTAACACTTTACATGTTGCGCTTATATTTTTGTTCAGTATAATTCAGTATAATTCAGTATAAAGCCAGTGTATGGCTGTGGATTGACTGCATTGTTTGAATGGAATGTTGGCATGTTGGTAGTTAATTTCTAATACTGACTGGCTAGCTAGCTAACAAACATACATCTTCAAATTCATTATTTTAAACAATATCTTATCAAAGCACTTGTAAACCATGGTTGACCAACTCCCTGACCAGAATGGCTGACCTTTATCCCATCATAAGAAGGTTCATTTCCATTCAAGTATTCTAATTCCTAATTCTATGCTCAGTACCACACCACCACCAGCTAACTAATGACTAGCAGGCAGCTCAGGATTTCCATCGTCAGTTGTAATGGATGAACAAAATTAAATGCAGCTGAGATTAGATAATGATCAGCCCACCATCTGCATTCTACACCGTGCTTCTACATCTGCATTGCTTGCTCTTTTGGGGTTTTAGGCTGGGTTTCTGTATAGCATTTTGTGACATCTGCTGATGTAAAAAGGGCTTTATAAATACATTTGATTGATTGATTGATATTAGAGTTGACCATTCACACTGAAAGAGTTTATTTTTGTAAAGCATCATTTAAACCCTAAAGTGTTAAGAAGTGAACACTTTAAAACATTTTACTCTACGTAGAGTGGGACAATAGAGACAGTTTTTTGGTGTTAGAGTTCACACTTCATTAACAATGGCAATTTTGCAATGTATGGATTGGTGAAGGTGATGAGGACTTTTTTACCTGGAGATGGATCGGCTCGGTCCACACTGCAGGAAGAAGGGAGACGAAACTGGATCCCTGGAAAGAGTAGGCAACACCAGTTAGTGAAGGGAAAAGAAGGGCCAGGAGAGACTCATCCACACATAGTTTATCTTACTATAACAGTACCTACCATGCCTCAGGCCAACACTCGTATCAGGATCACAGTCAAGCGAGAGTCACAGACACATTTCAGATGAAATACACATACATTTCTTCTCATTGATCATGATATTTGGTCAATCAATAACAAAGAAAGACGTGG